TGGAATCACTCTAAGGGCAAATGGGTGGAGTTGCTCTTAGAGGGGATATTATGGGATTTGATTGAGTTGGAGGAAGTTTTTCTGTAGTTTCCCACGACGGGACTCCCTTTAATGTAAACCACGAGTGACTAGTCAAACTTTTCAAATTGCAGTAAATTGAAAAAAAAATGTTCCCCAAATTCGTTTGGAATGTACAAGGAAGAGTTTTTCTCTAGTGTTGGAGGCCCGACGCGGGACTGGGTGGGACATTGTTATCAGCCATTAAATCGAGTAAAGGACACATTTAACACTTGTTCCTTGAATCCAACGGCTGATACTAGCCTCCCGCATCAGTCCCACATATTGAACCCTTGCAAATTGCACTGGAGAAAACTGGTAGGAAAGAGGAATTCAACATCCATTCCACAATTCTTCTACTTTTGGAAAGGATCGAAACGTCCAAGCAGTTTCCAAAAGAACTAGATAAATATGGGTTATTTGGAGTTACCCAGCTCATCTCATGTGCCACTGCCAAAGGGAGGAAAGTGATAGGACAATTGTAGCAAAATCACACCCCTACAACTTAGAACCCCAACTTCTAAAAGAGAGACTTTGGGCCTTTTGTCAGAGAGCAGAGAGAGCAGAAAAATGGTGGCCGGGCAGCAGAATTCAGGTGAGGGAGTGATCACAACCAATTATTGGTTCAAACCCAAGAAGGGTAGTGTTTTCCCAGCAAAGAGGAAGTTGGTGAAGACAATGGTTTTTGAATCCATAGTGAAATGGGTTGCCTCTGTTTTCTGCTCTGCGCTTCCTCCTCCTCCTCCACCTTCGTCTGGAGCCTCAGCCAACCAACCCAACATGACCCCCGTGGGCAAAGTAGCAAATTCCAAGAAATGCAAGCAGATAGCACCACAGTGAATTGGAAAGGGTGACAAAAGTCCTATCAAATCCATGCCACCTCTGAAGATTTTAGTTAATTTCCTATTCCATATATGTGGGTGTGGGTTGATAAATTGATCGAAGTCCCCCTATCCTATTCTGTCAATTTATCACCCCACACCAACATTCACAGTTTCTGTTTTCTTTTCTTTCCTTGTTTTTGGTTGATTTGGACTTTGCTTCATCAGGATTGATGATCCATCAATTTGTCTGCTGTAGCTTTTAGTTTCAAATTCAATAAATAATCATCGAATTTCCCAGTTTCTGGTGCCAACCAACTATATTTTCACAAGTTTGGAGCTTTTAACAGTTACTTAGATTTCCCGAAATGATCATACATGTTTGTTTGGAATTGGAAGAGGAATGATGAATCCCAAAAACTTAAAGACCCCACAATTTACAAACCCAGTATTCAAAGACAACTTAGACAAGAGAGAATGATAGATGTTCATTGTTTTTTTTCTTTTCTAGCGGAAGAACCATAAGGTTGTACGAAGCAAACAACGCAAACATGACTAATTGCATATGTTAGTAAGACAGTCAAAGCAAGTAGCTATCAGCTTTTCATGCATGCAAGGTAATTTACCGTTACACCTTCCAATTGTCTTACTTATTACATAAGAATTGCAAGGACATTTCCAAATATAACATGTCGTCGGAAAAGACTATTTCAAGTTCAACATATATCTTAAAGCATGCATCGGAGGGGGTCCACTGTTTTTAGGTTTAGCACAATGAATTTGTTCTGACACTAGCACACGTTAAAAGGAGAAACTATCTATACAGATGAAAAATTATTATGTGTTACAATAATTAGGGCTCACATTTGTTGATATGAGATGCCAACTCAACTCGATCTGGCATGAATATGACACGATTTGCTAACATGAATAGTGAACATATTAGATTACTATTTCATGAATTGTTTAACTTTTTTATTTATTTATGCATTGTATGAACAATTGCACAATTACGAGGCCTATTTATGTATGACTTTGTGGGTATTTATGATTAATCAAGTTTTTAAAGTGTAAATAATGTCTGAAAATGGCCCACAAATCTTTGGCTTCGATTGTAAACGAAAGGCCAAGTCGATAAAACTTTTCACAGTCAACAGAGCAGAAGAGCCAGAGCCAAAGAGACAAAATTAAAAATACCACATGACATGTTAAAGTTGAGATAATGTTATTGGAGCTTCCTATGGTGGATGATTTGGCATTTTGATTGGAGAATTTCTGAAGACAGAAGGGAAAAAGTAAAAGATGCTGCCAATCTTTGAAGACGATTTGGTCATTTCCATAAAATTTACTGGTCTGAACAGAGGGTTTGATTTCAATTTCAAGGGTCCATCTGTGTTCAAATTTGGACAAGGGTGATGTCAAAAGGATTGTAGTACTAAATTAGGTCTGTTGGGCTCCCCTGCTTTATTTATTTTTAGTTATAATTTTTACGTGAACTTGAGAGTGAGATTTAAATTTGAGAACTCGATTTCAACATTAGAAATAAAAATATCACTAAACTATGAGCTAATTAGTCTCTCGTACTTTGCATTAATTATTACCCAAACTCATTGACGCAGTTTAATATGGCAACACGCATGCTAAGATTTATTTTTATTAGGTTTTTTAGGTTTTAGACATAAAAAAAATTTCACTTTTGGAAAAAGCCAAAGCTTTTTCAAAAAAAGACAAAAAAACCACTCAACTTTCAAATCAAAGACATGCAAATGTATTGGATTCCTTAGGAAATCTAAAAATAAATAAGGGCATTTTCGTCCATTTTTGCTTCTTTTAAAATTTTTCTCTCTCCTTTTGCCTTTTTCAAAATGTCCCTTATTTATTTTGGTCTAGAAGCATGTTTCATTAAACAATTGATAAATGAATAGTCAGTTACATAAAGTAAGCTCAATAAGATTCTATTAGAGAGATTTAGGCATATCTTACGGTAAATTCCAAAAAAAGAAAAATGTCTATATCCCACCTGCTAAGATAATACACACTGCAAACTAGGGATGCATGGCCAAATTCATATATAACACATATTCTATTTTAATCGGGAAGTGACTTCCACTCGTCCTTTTACATGGCACGGAAAGTTCTCACTCAAGTTTTTCTCTTGTTTTTAAGACAGAAGAGCAAAAAAGATTTAAGATTAAAAAAATACAAGTAATATTCTAAATTATCTTAATATACCGAAATTGTGATTCGGAATATCGGAGTGTAAATAGGCGAGCACCCTACCCAGATGTTGTCATGAAGTCAAGCAAAATTAAAAGAAACTATCAACATGATGCTTTCCATATACTAGTAAGGAATTTGTTCCGACCTTAGGCCATACTTATAAAGTTGCATGTACCAGTAGGTGTTTTTTTTGAGATGGTGGACAGTAATTGTTTTACTTTATTCAATTTTAGAACGTTAAATAAAAAAAGGCATTGAAAAAGGTAAATGGGGATGATCAAATGTGAATAAATGTTGAGTTAAATGATAAGACTTGTGTCAGCATGACATAGAAGGGACATCAAGGGAACACACAAAATGAGGACAGGAGATCCGGACTCCTGTTACTGTAGGCCAGAGAGTAAGCTCCAAAAATTATAACTTATCTTGCACGCAAGAGAGTTCTTTACTTGGGACTCCCACGTGGCAACAGAAAAAAAAATCAAATCAGTGGGGGTACTATAGCGGCACTGTAGCGGGTACTGTAAGCGATGACGTCAGCAGACCTCGTTTTGGACCTCGGGCTGAAGCTGCTTTCGGGCCAGCTCGAGTTGGTGGGTCCCACAACTCCCCTGGGCTTGGGCTGGGCTCCCCTGCTGGAGTAGCTCTAAGGAGTGAATTCCATAAACATAAATATATGGTACCAAAATTATTTTCCTCACGGCTTCGACCCGCCGATGTTGCCAACTCTTTGAACTATTCAAGACTCTCCTTGTGGTCTAAATTAAAAATCAGAATGAGCT